TTACGGGTTGTGAGACTTAGTCAAACAATTCGTTACGGGTTGTGAGACTTAGTCAAACAATTCGTTACGGGTTGCGAGACTTAAGTCAAACAATTCGTTACGGGTTGCGAGACTTAGTCAAACAATTCGTTACGGGTTGCGAGACTTAAGTAAAACAATTCGTTACGGGTTGCGAGACTTAGTCAAACAATTCGTTACGGGTTGCGAGACTTAGTCAAACAATTCGTTACGGGTTGTGAGACTTAGTCAAACAATTCGTTATGGGTTGTGAGACTTAGTCAAACAATTCGTTACGGGTTGCGAGACTTAAGTCAAACAATTCGTTACGGGTTGCGAGACTTAGTCAAACAATTCGTTACGGGTTGCGAGACTTAGTCAAACAATTCGTTACGGGTTGTGAGACTTAGTCAAACAATTCGTTACGGGTTGTGAGACTTAGTCAAACAATTCGTTACGGGTTGTGAGACTTAGTCAAACAATTCGTTACGGGTTGCGAGACTTAGTCAAACAATTCGTTAGAGGTGCGGACTACATAAAAGTCTGAGAACCCCTTGTCTACGCTTCTCTTACACGACGCTCCCCCCCCCCTCGCCTTACACGACCGTCCGCCGTCAATCATGATTTCTCCCGGGGAGGTGACCTCACCACGCGCTGGGAAACGGTGACGTGCGTGGTTTGACAAAACACGATTAAAACACGCTCAGCTCTATTCTAGGTCTAGATGAATTGTAAGGAGTAATCGCTTCTGGCTTTGGTAACGTTCTTCTTCTCACCTGTCTTCTTCCCCTTCCCGGTGTATTGTTGTTTTTGATTGTGATGAGGAAGTCAACCATTTATCAGTTTCAGTTTATTTTGGTTTTTTTTTGTTTTTTTTTTTTAAGGCGCACACTGCAAACATAATAGAATATGCGTGCTTATTTTTAAAAATTGAAAATCAAGGTCTGGAGCATGAAAAGTATTCACTTCATATTTCACGCTCAGTCTGAGTGCCGTCGCGTGACTTTTGGACACCAGCTGTCACTTTTCGGTTCTGTGCGTCCCCCCTCCCCCAACCTTCTTTTTCATTCAAAGTTGATATTTTACATTATTTTCTCTCTCCATAAGTACAACTTTGGGAATCTTGACTGTAGCCTACAAAACCCTCTTCCAATATCCGAGGCCTCCGACAGCTGCAAGGATTTGCAGGGTCCACGCGACGTCTATGCTTGTGACAAAATAATATGTAGAGATGTGCACCAAATTGTATTCAACCTCACTGGGGAGCTCCTTGACAACAGAATGCCTTGTGCCGACTGTCAAAAAACGTTGCTACTTATAGTATAAACCCAGCGTTGGTAAATAAGGGGAATATGCCCCACCTCCAATGGCAGGGTTGTTAATATTGCAATATTGTATTGGTATTGGTAGTATTGCCAATACTTTTTTAAGTATTGGGACGATATTGCAATACTTCTTGAAATTTGATATTGGTATTGGTATTGCCAATAATTATTTTTGATATTGGTATTGATTTTTAACCAATACTAAAAGCAATATTCAATAAATTCTCTACAACATTGGTTGTGAATAAAGCTGAATATAATAAATTTTTCTTTGGTGTCGCCATCTTGCGAGTGACATTGCCAAACAATTTTTGAATGAGACTGATCAATGAAATGAATGATAATAGAAATCAAATCATATATGATATCTTTGGCAATGAGCATTGACCAGTGACTTACCAAGGCTCGATTAAGGCTTAGGCACTTTAGGCACCGTGGCTAGGGCCTACAAACAAAAATAAGGCCAAACAAACAAAAAATATTTTTTTCATTCATCCATCCATCCATTCATTCATGCACAATATGTGTACAGTATACATATTAAAAATCTTGTTGCTTAAGGACGTTAAGGTATGCCGACTTATTTAATATGTTGTCAAAGACTTTTGAATGCTTTGAGGAAAACTGATGAAGCAAGTGTTAACTATTTTGATATTGGTATTGATTTTTAACCAATACTAAAAGCAATATTCAATAAATTCTCTACAACATTGGTTGTGAATAAAGCTGAATATAATAAATTTTTCTTTGGTGTCGCCATCTTGCGAGTGACATTGCCAAACAATTTTTGAATGAGACTGATCAATGAAATGAATGATAATAGAAATCAAATCATATATGATATCTTTGGCAATGAGCATTGACCAGTGACTTACCAAGGCTCGATTAAGGCTTAGGCACTTTAGGCACCGTGGCTAGGGCCTACAAACAAAAATAAGGCCAAACAAACAAAAAATATTTTTTTCATTCATCCATCCATCCATTCATTCATGCACAATATGTGTACAGTATACATATTAAAAATCTTGTTGCTTAAGGACGTTAAGGTATGCCGACTTATTTAATATGTTGTCAAAGACTTTTGAATGCTTTGAGGAAAACTGATGAAGCAAGTGTTAACTATTGAACAAAATTTGGTTAAAAATACATTGTCTAAATTAGCCAAAAATGTTGTTATCGTTTATCGATGTAAGTGATATAGAGCGATGAATTACGTATTTGCGTTTTATTCGTCGAATGACCCAAATATTGGTATTGGTAAGGCAATAATAAATAAATATTGGTATTGGTATTGCAATACTGGTTTTAAAATTGTATTGGTATTGGTATTGCCAATAGATTTTACAGGCAGTATTGGTATTGGTATTGCCAATAATTTTTTTTCATTATTGTTAACAACCCTGTCCAATGGTGACACATGACATTCTGTTGGAGGCCTCGAACACTTTGTAACAAGCAATTGATGTATATTGAAAGGGACATTTAAAAAAAAAAATGTTTTTATATTCTTAAGAACTAATAAGTTGGGCAAGGAGGTTAATAAAATGTTAAAGTGAGTCAAGATTGTCAAGAAGGTAAATAAAAAAATAATCTCGAAGAGGGCCAAACAACTTTACTAAAATATTAAAGTGGGACGCGAGCAGAAAAAAACCCTCTGTTTAAAACCCTGTACGATACATCATGCACCGTAGTGAGGAGAGTCTTATCATTTTGTGATGTCAACGAGCTTACAAAAGGACTTCTATAAAACAAAGGCAGAAAACGACAACCTAGTCTCAGTGGCGTAGCTAGCAGGGTTGCGGGGGTGGGGGGTGGGGGTGGACCGCACCGGGTGATACCAACCCTAGCTACGCCACTGCCTAGTCTACCTAGGGTGCTGCAAGAAAGGGAAACTTATGGCTTACTGTGGCAGGCGGTTTGGGGGAGGGGTGGGGGAGACATAGAATGGCTGTAGCCGATTGTGACCGGAAGCTTAGAAACCTGTGGGAGAATGGAGAAATCCAAGAAATGACGTCATACATTAGGCGGTGACTTTCCAACGGGGCCGTCAACAATTATAGAGAAATACAAAATCTTATTCCGCCTTCACTTAAACGTACAACCTTGTCCGAAAGTACGTCACAAGTGTCATTCTTTATCACCGTTACCTTCTCTTTCTTTCTTTCTTTCTTTCTTTCTTTCTCTATTCCAGGTATTTACAAGTACATGACGTATAGAAAATCGTGTATCTAAGACTGACACCGGTGATAAAGAATTACCCCTTCCCTCCACACCCACCCACCCACACTAAGACATGCCAACACATTATTTTGCCTACGTCATCACAAAGCACGCTGGGATGTTCGGTGGGCGGAGCTTGTTTGTGATTGTATCGGAAGAAGACTATTAATAATATGTAATATCAAATGGGTGTGAAATAACACGTGGTTTACGTCGTGATTTACCCCCCCCCCCCCTTTGTTACAACAAAATATTTCAAATAGTAACCTGGTGCTATTCTTTGCTGGAAAAA